GAGTTTTTAATACACTTTTTATCAAAGTTTAAAGCTATTTGCAAACTGAAACTCTCTTCAATATCCTACTTTTTGCACTTTACAAAATTTCACCAAAAGGTAGGAAATACAGCTACTTCTAACAAAGAATTAATAATAACAATTACTGCTAAAAAAAAAAATCACATATGTATATATGTTTGTTTTGGAATAAATAATATATAATTATACTTTAACTTTATATAGCAAAGAATTTTATATAAATACAGTACAGAAATTTTATCAAAATACATTAGAAATTTTGAACTTGGAGCTCTATTCAAAAACAAATAGTTTTTATGTTTTATATTCTAGATATACTGTAGATATAAATAGCTAGTATAGAATTAAACTAGTTTATTTAGTTAGACTATATAATTTTTATAATTTTGTATAGATTAAATAGTACTATCTTTGTTTTTTTTTCTTTTTGTTTTATTATTCATATTTAGTTTGTATAGCAAATAGGTTATTGGCCTTCGGCAAATGACCACTCAGTGTCCACTGAATAAGGCTGTGTAATCTCGACACCCTGAGCTGTAATTTTTGCACGTTGAAACTAATATTAAAACAAAAAATCAGATAATTATTATTATTGGCGTATGAATATCATATAATTTAATTGAGCAATAAGAACATACCTTATTAAGACTTCTTGCGTCTCTATAGAATAAGACCTTCATACACGTTTCAATAGCATCTATGGCTTCTTCTTCTGAAAGAGTATTTTCATGACCCTCAACAATCTTTCGAAGAATGGGTTGAGCTAAATAAGCACCGAAACCAGTAGCAATACTAGAAGATTTATACGTTGTTCCTAGTAGATCAACATATCCGAGAAATCTTTATCACATGTATCAATTAGCAAATCAATATTTTACTGAGAAATACAGGTACAAAAATAAACATAACGCGTACCCTTCTCCATTGTGATATCCACCAACAACATAGGCATTCCAAAGAGGGTTGATTTGAGTCCGTCTCTGGTACATAACACGACTTAAATATTCATATATATGTGGTGCACCAAGAACATGGCCATCGTTTATGTAATATTCTTTAACCCTA